ATGTAAATGATAAGAGAAAGGATTAGATATTGCGATTCAAGTGATAATATAAAATAATTATACCAAAATTGAATTAAGTTTTTAAATTTTCTAAAACAATCGATACAAAATTTTAATTTTAATTTGTAAAAAAAAAAGGGAAAGGAAATCGAACATGGACTGAAGAAATTTTCAGTACCCAATATTTTGGATACCAAAAGAATGGGCAGCCGCATATGAACACACCTAGTCCTAACACTTCCTTTTATCATATATCGACACCTTTTTAATGGTAAACTATTTTATTGGTCACTTTGTTTTGATTTTATTTAATTTTAATCACTAAATTTTAAATACTATTTTAGTCACTTATTATTGATTTGTTACAATTTAGTTATTAAGTTATTAACTCTAGTTTTTAATGACATGATAAATTAAAAATTGGTTAATTTTTAATTTAATTATTGAATTTTATAATAATATTAATTTATATTTGAATTTTTATTTCATTCATTTTTAATATTTTTAAGAAAAACTAAAAAAAATCTATTAACCCCAAAATCCAATCAAAGTTCCCGTCACCAATAGACATGAACCATCATCACTTGCCACCTCCCCAAAATTTTTAGTTCAATCATTTTATCCCTTTAAACGTGAATACGATTAAACTCCAAAAATCTAGCGCATAATCTTTTACTTTCCTCATTTTGATCTCCACAAATATGATTGATCACATTCATTTAGGTTTTGTACACTTTTTCCTCATTGAATTAAAAAAACATAATATTTGATCACTTTCATTTTTATTCAATTAAAATGTAGTCACTTAAAGTTAATTACGATTAAACTTTTAACAGATTGCTGACGTAACATAATATATATAATTAAAAGGGTAAATTAGACAAATGATTACTAATATTTAAGTTTTCATTTTTTCATTGAAGCTTCGAAAGTAATTAATCAAGATCATTTTGAAGTATATGTCTAAGAATGATCTAAACTGATACTAAACTTTACTGACACAAAAGAAAATATTCGAAATGTTTCAACTTACCGATGGAACTCCGCAGAATGCGAAGACCGATATTGTGTAGATCCAATACACGCAAAAATCTCAAACTTGAAATGATGTATCATGATCGACCTTGTCCAAAATTACATTATGAACAGGTTGCATGTAAAGAAGAGATGATCGTAGTTTGTCCATGTTAAGTAAGTGAGTTGGATTAAAATCTATAATTATGAGTATATATTATAATGTATATTATTATCATAAAATAATACAAAAATTTTGTGATAAAATCATAAGGTATTAGAAGTGTAGAAATCAAAGTTGTATTTATAATTTGATGAGGGAAAGAGTTATAAATACATAAAATAACTGATTCTTAAATCAGCTATATAAAGGGATTATGGTCCCCAAAAAATAAATATTTCCGCATTTACTCTTTTCCAAGAATCGTATATGAACTTTATCTTCTTGGAATATCATTACCAAAAAAAGATTCAAAGATTTCAGTCTATTAATTAATTCATATATGCTTCTTCATCTAGTATTTTTATTCTTGATAATTTGACATGATTAGATCATGTTATTTTTTCATATTTATTATGTTTCGATTCTAACAAGTGACATCATTGCCAAACATGTTGGAACATTGAGAATTATTTAAGTTAGGGTTTATAAACCACAATTAATATTATCATGCCAGCCTTTTTTTTATATATTACTGCAGTATTTTTCGATGATAAGCATAGAATCGATTTGTGTCTATAAATCAATTGCTATTAGTTGTTTGCTGTCTGAAGCAATTTTGATATTCGTTGAAAGTTATCGCATGTTAATTTAACGGCATACTGAAACAAAATACCCATAACGTTTGAAAGTATTACCAAATTTATCCTTACTATCTTTTTAGAATATTTGACCCGTTAAATTTTCATTTTGGGTCAAAAAACAACATCGTTAAATGAAAATCGTTAGTCAACTAACGGTCAACACATAGAGATGACATGGCAAGCTTGCATAGCATCGCACGCTGATGTATCAATGCCACATATACAAAGGTGATGACGTGGCAAATGCCACGTCAGTAAAAAATATTTTTTTTAAATAATTATATTAATTTTTTAATAATTATCAACCAATGCAGTGATGACATGTGTCATCATTGCATTGGCTTAAATATGAAATTGCAAAATTTATTTTTGGTGGGTATTAAACCCAGGTTACAAAGATTAAAATCTTTTCACACTACCACCAGGCCAAATTTAGAACTTGGTTATCCCTGGAAAGATTTACTATTTATCCCATGTATTGTGTCTCTCACACATTTCATCAACACCTTATTCTTCATTGTAATTTTCAACACATTTCATCAACAGACATGTATAGAATATTTAGTTTTTTTTTCAAGAACGATAACGAGAAACATCGAAGAAGTGGAAGCAAATCTTTGAAGAAGTGTAATGCCCCAAATATTGAATTAAGGATTTTATTGAAAGGATTTAAAAATAGGAGGATTTATTTGATTAAATGATAAAAGATGAGAATGATTAGGATTATTGGTTTAAACTAAATTATGACAATGGATTATTAAGAGGGCATTTTAGTCTTTTAAATGAAAGAGAAATTAAAGTGTATTTTAAATTGGTATTAAAGATAAGGGGAAAAAGAAATTAGGTTGCTAAAAAGTTATCTTCCTTCTTCTTCCTCTTTCCCCGTAGCAAAGCTCCTCTATAGCTCAAAGGTGAGTTTTCAATATACTAGTTTATTCCTTCATTTTTGGTTGGTTATTGAAGCCTTGTATATTATGGAAGCTTAGGGAAGGTTTAGATGAGATTAAAACAATGAGATAAGGGAAATAAAAGAGATTTTAGAAAATGGGTTTTATAAGGTTATGTTAGTATATGGGTAATTATTGATGATTATTAGTTGTTTTGACTTGTCAAAGAGGTAAATGAAAGATTAGAAGCATTTGATGAGTGTAAAAACAAGTTAGAAATTTTGGTGTGATTCTTAAAATCAAATGCTATTGAGGGATACTAGATGTTTTAAGTGTCTAAATGAAGGAAAGTTAGTATGGTTAAGTAGAGAAGAGTTACATAGTATTATTAGGGGTAAATGAGAGGAAAATTGGCCAAAATTGGGTATGTATCGGGTTGAAAACTGGAAAATTTGGGCATGGGTATCGGTACTGATAGAACAATATCGATACTATAGGCTAAAATGAGATGAATTAATTAAGTAGTATCGATAATGATTCAATCAGTATCGATACCGAAGGGATGGTATCGATACCATTTTGAAAACATTTTGAAATAGAATGCAAAAATGGTATTGATACCATATGAGGGTATCGGTACCATAGTATGGTAGTATCAATACCATGGTAAGGGTATCGATACCAGGTAACATCGAATTTAAAATTGGTATCGATACCGGAAGGGGGTATCAGTACCATAGTATAGTAGTATCGATACCATGGAAGGGTATCGATATTGAAGAACCAAAAATTTTAAGTTATGCTGATATTGTTGTAGAAAGGTTAATAATAAGTACTTTTGATTAATGTTTAAGTTATAACTGTTAGGAAATACACTAACAATTGATATTATACATTTAATGAATATGGATTAGATCGAAATCAAGCACCCGAGTCGAGTATGGAAAAAGGCAAGGGTCAAGTTCCAGAGTAATCATTTTCTCATTCTGGATGTCTACGCAAGACGAGCCAAATGAGTGCATTTAATTATGTACGTATATGCTATAATAGTCATAGTGATAGGAAATATTGATGCATGTATGGTGATTACCAAATGGAACTAAGTGTGCTAAAAATGTTAAGAAATTCATACTAAGTGTATGAATTTTCGTATTTGACACTAAGTGTGCTAAAATGTTAAGAAATTCATACTAAGTGTATGAATTTCTGTATTGGGCACTATGTGTGCTAAAATGTTAAGAAATTCATACTAAGTGTATGAATTTCCGTATTGGGCACTAAGTGTGCTAAAAATGTTAAGAAATTTATACTAAGTGTATGAATTTCCGTATTGGGCACTATGTGTTCTAAAATATTAAGAAATTCATACTAAGTGTATGAATTTCTGTATTTGGCACTATGTGTGCTAAAATGTTAAGAAATGCATACTAAGTGTATGAATTTCAGTATTGGGGACTTTGTGTGCAAACATGTTAAGAAATTCATACCAGGTGTATGAATTTTCGTATGGGAAATATATGTGTATAAACATAAGAAATTCATAATAAGGAAATGAATTTTTATATTGTTAATGGGTATGCAAACCACACAAATTTTTGTAATGGTTAACAAATGATGATATTAGCACTAGCGATGCAAATTATAGAATACTTATTGAATTGAAAGATCCCTTGAAATGTAATGCGTAATAAAATAACTTGTGTTTAGAATTTTACTTGTGATTAAGTATGCGTCACTAAGTAATACTTAACGTGTGTTTATTTCACGCGTAGGTGGAATACCAGCTGAGTAGGGAGATCATCAGACATCAAGTCAGAGTCGCCTCATCAGTAACAATATGACATACATGTCTTCTTTTGATATATTTTAGTTGGCATGTAATAGGTTTAGTAAAAACACATTGAAAAGCTTTTGAATTAAACTATTGTAAAACAGTGAAATATGAAACATCTCTTTTTGTTGTATATGTAAGTTTAATGCATATTTTAATTATAAGTAAATTATAATGGTTTATAAAATGAAACAAAATTATACAGATTTTCAAATGGGAAACCATTTTAAAAGTGATGTGACATCTATATTTTATATACGTAAAGGTATACATGAGATGAGTGTTATATTTATTGGTATTAGAGCTACGAGTTTAGCCGATTCTCGGCAGAAAATGAGTGTAGTTTGATATAGAAATAGTTTATATGCCACTAAAATGTCAAGGTTACGGATAAGGTATAGAATGAATATGAAATATGTCTCTCCTTACTAACTTAAGTATGATTCTTATGAATGTTGTGATAGATGTCGGATTCAACGAATTCAAGAAGAGCAGCTGGTCAAGAAAGTAGAGACGAATCGGGTAGTGAAAGCTATAAAGAGAATAACGAACATCCGATTCCGTCTGACAATGCCAGTGCACCGACACCTCAGGGTATGCCTGTTCTGGAGTTCAGAGCTTTTATGCAAGCCCTAGATGCTATCTTGACACGATTTCAACCTCCTATGCTTCCCCATGCTCCTCCAGTACCGCAAATGCTAATTCTAAAGGAGTTAAGAAGTTTGGGAGCTCTATAGTTCAGGGGAGAAGAAAGTGAAGGTCCAATGGACGTGGATTTATGGTTGAATGACGTAAAGGCAATGTTGGAAAGCTTGTAGTGTTCAGATCATGAAAAGTTGGGCGGAGCAGTATCATTGCTCCGAGGTTCATCTCGGGTATGGTGGACAAACACGAAGATGTATGTGTCACCCGAGCAAGTGAATTAGTAGTTCCTTCAAGAGGAGTTCTAGAATATGTTTATCGGGGAGTAGTTCATGAGATCGATGTTATTAAAGTTCCTTAGCTTGAAACAAGGGGATCGAGCGGTGCATGGATATGAGGCCGAATATAATAAGCTCAACCGTTATGCTATAGAGGTTGTTCCTAATGATAAAGCTCGTCGAGATTGGTTCATTGAGGGTCTGAGGCCTAAGCTAAAAGAGATGATGTTGGCACTAAATTTGTATAGTCTACAAGAAGTGATAAATAGAGCAAAAGCGATTAAAAGAGCTCAAGAGGAGACTCTAGTTGCGGAGAAGAGTATGTAGACAGGAAAGAGGATTAGGACGTCTTCATCTACATATTATGCAAAAAGGGGGCAAGGGCTCAGGTTCTTGATTCTCTGATAGAACTGATTTTTCTACAGCTTCACGGAAAACTAAGAAGTCCCATTCCTATGTTTCTAGCTCGGGTAGAGCTTATAAAGAAAAACCTCTATGTCAGACGTGAGACAAGTCACACGGGGGAGTATGTAGGTTGCTTTCTGGTGCTTGTTTCCACTGTGGTGAATCTTGTCATTTTGCTCGGAATTGCCCGAAGAAATTTGGGAATAGATCAGCTCAATTTGAGAGATCAGTAGTAGCACATAATAGAAGTAGAGGAAGAGGAAGATCAAGCGTTCAATCTGAGGCTAGCTAGAGTCAAGAGACTCGGGGAGTGTCCCGAGTATATAATATAAAGACCAGTGATGATCATGATGATCCGAAGATCATAACAGGTACATTTCACCTTTTTGATGAACCTGTTTTTGTTCTAGTCGACCTAGGTTATACGTATTCATATATTAGTACCAAGTTGATTAGAAATAGAGTAATTCCTTTAGAGCTAATTGCTAGTGAAATGATAGCGATAAATCCTATGGGTCAAAGTGCAAGGGAGTCTAGGGTGTGTAGAAAATGTCCAATTAAGATTCAAGGGGTAGTATTCTTGGCAAACTTGATGGAGTTACCCTTTGATGAGTTTGAAATTATTTTGGGAATGGATTGGTTGTGTCCACATCATGGATGGGTAAATTGTTGTCAGAAAAAATTATTCTTAAAGGATGCGAAAGACTTCAAAATTGTGGTGATAGGTGAGAAGGTGAAATCCCTGTCCAATGTGATATCATCCATGACTGCAAAGAAAATGATGCCAAAAGGATGCGTTGCTTTTCTAGCTAATGTGATAGACACTTGAGTGCTGAAAGTACGATTGCCTGATATTCCCACATTTAGGGAGTTTCCAAAAGTTTTTCCTGAAGAGTTACCAGGTTTACCTCCAGATCGCGAAGTTGAATTAGAATTGATGTTTATCCGGGTACTGAACCTATTTCAATGGCTCCGTATTGAATGGCTCCAACGAATTTAAGGGAATTAAAGGCTCAATTGCAAGAACTACTTGATAAAAAATTTATTGGACCCAATGTTTCTCCTTGGGGCACACATGTGCTATTTGTGAAAAAGAAGGATGAGTCTATGAGGTTATGCATTGATTATCGTCAGTTGAATAAAGTAACAATAAAGAACAAGTATCCTCTTTCGAGGATTGATGACTTGTTTTATCAATTGAAATGCGCAACAATGTTCTCTAAGATAGATCTGAGGTCGGAGTGTCATCAATTAAATATTGAAAAAGAGGATATTTCTAAGATGACTTTTCAGACTCGGTACAAACATTATGAATTTGTAGTAATGTCGTTTGGATTGACAAATGCTCCTGCAATATTTATGGATTTAATGAACAGAGTATTCCAACCGTATTTGGATCTTTTCATGGTAGTGTTTATAGATGGTATCCTGGTTTATTCCAAGTCAAAGGAGGATCACGATGCTCATCTTCGAGTGGTCCTTCAGATACTTCGTGATAAGAAGTTGTACGCTAAATTGTCCAAATGCAGATTTTGGTTATCTGAGATTTCTTTTCTTGGTCATATAGTGTCGGTAGAAGGCATTAGAGTGGATCCCAAGAAGATTCAAGCTATAGTAGATTGGCAATCCCCAAAGAATATTACGAAAATTTAGAGTTTCTTGGGACTTGTTGGTTATTATAGGTGATTTGTGAAGAACTTTTCAATGTTAGCTCTGCCGCTAACTAAGCTGTTGCGAAAGGACATGCCTTTTATTTACACAGAAAAGTGCCAAGAATGTTTTGAAATGCTAAAGAGAATTGTAAATGAGGCTCTAGTGCTCGTGCAACTTGAGTCGGTAAAGAATATGTCATTTATAGTGATGCATACCATAAAGGATTAGGATGTGTGCTTATGCAAGAAGGGAAGGTTGCCGTGTATGCCCCAAGACAATTAAAGAATCACGAGAGAAATTATCCGACACATGATTTGGAATTGGCCGCAATGGTTTTCACTTTAAAAATCTGGCGTCATTATTTGTACGGTTAGCGTTACCATGTTTACACAGATCATAAAAGTTTAAAATATTTGCTGACTCAAAAAGAGATAAACTTAAGGAAAAAAAGATGGATTGAGCTCTTGAAAGATTATAATCTAGTTATTGATTATCATTTGGGAAAAACTAATGTGGTAGCGGAAGCTCAGTCGAAAGACTTTTGTGGCTTTAAGGGCTCTAGATGAACGTATGTCTTTAAAGGAAGATGGTGCTTTGATTTCCAAATTAAAGTTAAAACCGATGTTGTTAGATCGTGTAAAAGAGCTTCAAGGGCGAGATAAGAAATATTTGATGAAATTGGCGCAAGTTAAAAAAGAAAAGGTCAAAGATTTTGAAATAAGGGATGATGGATGCTTGTATTATCGGGGATGGCTTTGCATTCCCGATGATGATGATTTGAGGAGGGATATTCTTTGTGAAGCCCATTATAGCCCTTTGACCATGCACCCAGGCGGGATTAAGATGTATCAAGATTTGAAGAGTTGTTATCTGGGTTACTACAGCCTATATCTATTCCTGAGTGGAAGTGAGAGCGAGTAACAATGGACTTTGTTTCGGGGCTACCATTGTCACCAGGTAAAAAGAACTCGATATGGGTAAAAGTGGATAGATTGACCAAGACAGCTCATTTTATCCTCGTTCGAGTAGACTACTCGATAAATAAGTTTGCAGAATTGTATATAAAAGAAATAGTGAGACTACATGGTGTACCGATATCGATAGTGTCCAATTGAGACCCAAGGTTTACTTCAAGATTCTGGAAGTCTTTGCATGAGTCTTTGGGTACTCAATTGAATTTCAATACAACTTTTCATCCACAAACAGATGGGTAATCAGAACGAACTATTCAGATATTGGAAGATATGTTAAGGGCATGTGCGATTGAATTTAAAGGAGCATGGGATAAATATTTGCCTTTAGCGGAATTTGCGTATAATAATAATTATCAATCCAATATTAAGATGGCCCCGTATAAAGCTTTGTGTGGGAGAAAATGCAGAACACCATTAAATTGGTTTGAACTGAAAGATCGAGACCTGGTCGGACTGGATTTGATGAAAGATACGGAGGATAAAGTGAAAATTATCCAGAGCAATCTAAAGATAACCTCAGATCGCCAGAAGTCCTATGCAAATTTGAAAAGAAAAGAAATAGAATATCAAGTGGGAGACAAAGTGTTTTTAAAAGTATCACCTTAGAAGAAGGTATTACGTTTTGGGCGAAAGGGAAAACTGAGTCTGAGATTTATTGGACTGCATGATATATTAAAAAGGGTTGGAACTATGGCTTATCAGTTAGCTTTGCCTCTGGATATGGACAAGATCCACAATATTTTTCATATGTCCATGCTTAGAAGGTACAAATCTGATCCATATCATGTTATCAGGCCAGAACAAATAGAAATCCGACCATATTTAACTTATGAGGAGGAACCAGTGCAAATCTTAGCTATGAAAACCAATGAATTGTGTAATAAGAGGATTCTGTTAGTTAAAGTGCTTTGGCGGAATCATAAAGTTGAAAAGGCTACCTGGGAAAAATATGAGGATTTGAAAAAGCAATTTCAATATCTCTTTACTTCAGGTACTTCTTTAAATTCGAGGATGAATTTTATTAAGGGGAGAATTATAATGCCCAAATATTGAATTAATGACTTTATTGAAATGATTTAAAAATAGGATGATTTATTTGATTAAATGATAAAAGATGAGAATGATTAGGATTAATGGTTTAGACTAAATTATGATAATGGATTATTAAGAGGGCATTTTAGTCTTTTAAATGAAAGAGAGATTAAGTGTATTTTAAATTGGTAATAAAGACAAGGGGAAAAGGGAATTAAGTTGCTAAAAATTTCTCTACCTTCTTCTTTCTCTTTCCTCGTAGCAAAGCTCCTCCATAGCTCAAAGGTGAGTTTTCAATTTACCAGTTTATTCATTCGTTTTTGGTTGGTTGTTGAAGCCTTGTATATTATGGAAGATTAAGGAAGGTTTAGATGAGATTAAAACAATGAGATAAGAGAAATAAATGAGATTTTAGAAAATGGGTTTTATAAGGATATGCTAGTATATGGGTAATTATTGATGATTATTAGTAGTTTTGACTTGTCAAAGAGGTAAATGAAAGATTAGAAGCATTGGATGAGTATAAAAACAAGTTAGAAATTTTGGTGTGATTCTTAGAATCAAATGCTATTGAGGTATACTAGATGTTTTAAGTGTCTAAATAAAAGGAAAGTTAGTATGGTTAAGTATATAAGAGTTACATAATATTGTTAGGGGTAAATGAGAGGAAAATTGGCCAAAATTGGGTATGTACCGGGTTGAAAACTAGAAATTATGGGCATGGGTATCGCTACTAAGAGAACAGTATCAATACTATAGGCTAAAATGAGATGAATTAATTAAGTAGTATCGATACTAATTCAATCAGTATCGATATCAAAGGGAAGGCATCAATACCATTTTGAAAACATTTTGAAACAGAATGCAAAAATGGTATCGATACCATAGGAGGGTATCGATACCATAGTATGATAGCATCGATACCATGGTAAGGATATCAATACTTGTTAACATCGAATCTAAAATTGGTATCGATATCGGAAGGGGTGTCGATACCATATTATAGTAGTATCGATACAATGGTAGGGGTATCGATACTAAAGAACCAGAAATTTTAAGTTATGCTGATATTGTTGTAGAAAGGTTAATAATAAGTACTTTTAATTAATGTTTAAGTTATAATTGTTAGGAAATACACTAACAATTGATATTATACATGTATTTAATGAATATGGATTAGATCGAAATCAAACGCCCGAGTCGAGTAAGGCAAAAGGCAAGGGCAAAGTTCTAGAGTACTCATTTTCTCATTTTGGATATCTATGCAAGGTGAGCCAGATGAGTGCATTTAATTATGTACGTATATTCTATAATAGTCATAGTGGTAGGAATTATTGATGCACGTATGGTGATTACCAAATGGCACTAAGTGTGCTAAAAATGTTAAGAAATTCATACTAAGTGTATGAATTTCTTTATTGGGCACTATGTGTGCTAAAATGTTAAGAAATTCATACTAAGTGTATGAATTTCTGTATTGGGCACTATGTGTGCTAAAATGTTAATAAATTCATACTAAGTGTATGAATTTCCGTATTGGGCACTAAGTGTGCTAAAAAAGTTAAGAAATTCATACTAAGTGTATCAATTTCCGCATTAGGCACTATGTGTGCTAAAATGTTAAGAAATCCATACTAAGTGTATGAATTTCCATATTGGGCACTATGTGTGGTAAAATGTGAAGAAATCCATGCTAAGTGTATAAATTTCCGTATTGGACACTATGTGTGCTAAAATGTTAAGAAATTCATAGAAGTGTATGAATTTTCGTATTGGGCACTTTTGTGTGCAAACATGTTAAGAAATTCATACTAGGTGTATAGATTTCCGTATGGGAAATATATGTATAAACATAAGAAATTCATAATAAGGAAATGAATTTTTATATTTTTAATTGGTATGCAAACCACACAAAATTTTGTAATGGTTGACAAATGATGATATTAGTACTAGCGATGCAAATTATAGAATACTTATTGAATTGAAAGATCCCTTGAAATGTAATGTGTTATAAAATAACTTGTGTTTAGAATTTTACTTGTGATTAGGTATGCCTCACTAAGTAATACATAACGTGTATTTATTTCACGCGTAGGTGGAATACCAGCTGAGTAGGGAGATCATCAGACATCAAGTCAGAGTCGCCTCATCGGTAACAGTATGAGATACCTGTCTGCTTTTGATATATTTTAATTGGCATGTAATAGGTTTAGTAAAAACACTTTGAAAATATTTTGAATTAAACTATTGTAAAACGGTGAAATATGAAACATCTCTTTTTGTTGTATATGTAAGTTTAATGCATGTTTTAATTATAAGAAATTATAATGGTTTATAAAATGAAATAAAATTGTGCGGATTTTCAAATGGGAAACCATTTTAAAAGTGATGTGACATATGTATTTTGTATACATAAAGGTATATAGGAGATGGGTGTTACATGAAGCTTCCTACTGGCGAATATGTTCTCAAAGCAATTCCCAATAAGGCTATTTATTCATCTTCTTCTTCGACTAACATCAACATTAAATCAGAAAAACGCTTGAAATCCACAACAGGGTTATTCGGTTATCTTCCCTCCTCCATCTCTGGCTACTGCTGGTTCGAATAGAATTCCGACTGATTCAATTCGTCTAGTTGTCCTTGTCGAATCGCAAGAGAATGGAATCCGGCTCGTCCATGCTTTAATGGCGTGTGCAGAAGTTGTACAACAAAACAACTTCAATCTCACCGAAGCCCTGGTGAGACAAATTGGGTTCTTGGCGATTTCTAAAATTAGAGCCATGAGAAAAGCGGCGACGTATTTTGCCGAAGCTTTAGCTAGGAAGATTTACAAATTATACCCTCAAAACCCACTCGACAACTCTTTATCAGATGTTCTTCACATGCACATTTGCGAGGCCGACCCTTGTCTAAAGTTCACTCATTTCACGGCCAATCAAGCAATTCTCGAAGCTTTTGAATGCAAGACAAGAGTCCATGTTATCGGTTTCTCAATGAACCAAGACATGTAATGGCCTGCTTTGATGCAATCTTTAGCTTTGAGAGTAGGTGGTTTGCCAGCGTTCGAACCTCCCAGTCACGTTGACTCCGATCATTTACAGGAAGTTGGTTGGAAGTTAGCTCATTTAGCTGAAACGATTCACGACGTAGAGGAGAACAACGAGTGTTTGATGCTGGGATAAATGTGTGACAAACACAATACATGGGATAAATATTAAATCTTGCAAGGGATAACCAAGTCCTATACTTGGCCTAGTGGTAGCGTGAAAAGGCTTTAATCTATGTAACCTGGGTTTGATACCCATCAAAAGCAAATTTTGCAATTTCATAATTAAGCCATTGAAAAAATGACACATGTCATCATTGCATTGGTAGATAATTATTAAAAATTAATATAATTTTTTATAAAATTAATTTGTACTAACGTGGCATTTCCCACATCATCACCTTTGTATTTGCGGCATTGCTACATCAGTGTACAATGCTATGTAAGCTTGCCATGTCATCTCCATGTGTTGACCGTTAGTTGACTAACGATTTTTATTCCAAAAAGGGTGTTTTTTTGACCCAAAATAAAACATTAAGGGGTCAAATATTCCAAAAAAAATAATAAGGGTAAATTTGACAATACTATCAAATGTTAGGGGTATTTTATTGCATTATGCTTAATCTAACCCACCATTAAGCTTAGTTAATCGTGCACATCTTTTAAATTAATAATAAGGGTATATACATTCAAATTTTTTATGGAATTGTTATATGTGCCCTAATATTCTTTTTAATGGAATTCTTAACTTGCGGTTTGATATTCAATTGATTTTTGTGCCATGATATTAATTTTGACTATAATTAGCTTATTAAGTCCTTGATGCTGTTTATCAAAAGATTCGGTTAATAAAGGAATTTTATACCAATTGAGAATGCAAATTATTCGGTCTAATTTTATTTTATATTGCATTCTTAGTTTTTGTTTTTTTCTTTTTATGTTCTTTCCAAGTTAATGTTGTTTTAAGTTACAATGTATTGGTTGAATCCAACAATGGTCTAATTCATATCATGAATTATGGATTTGATTTTGGTTGCGATTTTTTTCATTTTATCATGTTTTGGTTTAATTTGATTAATTCATAATTAAGAAATTCTCGAGGAACAGTCAAATATTTAGGTTTTTTATTTCTAATAATATCATTTAGACAACCTTATTATGGGTTACTTCGGAAATTATGACGTGATTAGAAAATCCAGTTTTGTTTTTGTTACTGTTACGAATTATGGAATATATATTTGGCATTAATATATTCGATTCAATTTGATTAAAAAATATTATTATTATTTTAATCTTTGGAAAAGTTTTAATTCATTAATATGCATTTTGATTTTGACTTTTGATTAAATTTTTTTCTAGTTTGTTTTTAGTATTTTATGAAGTTATGAATTAAATGCATGTTTATGGAATTCTTCAGAAAAAAATCAAAAACTCAAGTTTTCAATTTCTTATAGCGCCATTTATGTAACCTTATTTTGGGTTATTCTGGATATTGTAGTGCAATAAAAAATTTTAGTTTTGACATTTGATTGTTATAAAAATATTAAATTTGAATACTAATATTTATTTTGAGACGACTTAACTAAAGCAAATAAGTCGTTAAAGTGACCCACAGTTATGGAAAATATTTTATTTTAAATATGAAAGATTTATGTGTATGTAACTTAGGATATGTTAGTATTGATTGACTCAAAGGAAGATTAATAGTTGACATAATCACATGTACAACTTTGGTAACAAGCATGTGATAAATATTCGGTTTGATGTGTGAGTAATAAATCGACTCAAAGGAAGATTTTTACTTGACATGTTCTTATTATCAATGTTTGGTTACAACATCATATATCACTTAAGGTGAATATTTTGTCTAATGATAAAATATTAATTGAGCATCTGATATCTTGAGATAAGGTTTAAGTACGGTTTTATTTATATTGTTAATGCAATATATGTATATATTCATTTCGGTTTTTCAATTTTGATTGTTAGTTAATAGAATATATATTTTGAAACAAATTAATTCATATTATGGCTATGTCTGATATTTTGATAGGTTAGTTGAAACATAATGCCGCCAAAGTGACCTCTTTTGTATAGACTGATTTATTTAAAATATCAAGATGATTATGTGTTTCTTGCGATTCATGCGTTTATTAATGGGCCCAAAGGAAAGTTTGTTAAACTATGTCCGTTTCGGTTGTCGATTCGAGCTTCCGAAAATCCTAACAAAGTTAATATTTGATTAGATTTCAAGGAACACCTATCGTAATATGTGACAATTTTATGCGAGCATTACATTAATCCAAAGACAAGTCTATTATTTGACATAACTTATTGTCAATGTTTGATTACTACAACAAAAGTATCGTTTACTGTTAATATTACTGACCAAAAACTTGATATTGATGTAGTGTTTGGTATCTGGATATAAGAATTAGCCATAATTTTGAATTTATTTGTTTACTTAAGATGTGAGCTTCAATTTTATTTATGTGTTTTTATGTATTCGACTAATTATTTATTTATTGCTACCACAATATTTGTTTTTATACATTTTCTGCTCATGTTTAAGAAAACAAATCTCAAGGAATGAGAAAATGCACTTATGTAAGGTTTTGGTTGTATGAACATAGACTTTGCAATAAAGTAAAAACAATTTCCACTCTTATGGGGATCCCATCTTTAACTGGTATAAGGGGTTTTGAGAGGTGAAATTTGTTCAAATTGCATAAGTTTAATTGTAATGAAGCACAATATTTTATAAGCCTTTAGAGGCACATAATATGAAAATATTATTTAGGTCAATGGTTTCCTTGATGAAATTGAGATACGTTTTTTTCCAAAAACAATAAGGTTTAAATGACATTACTTTTAAGTTATTTTATGTCTATAAAATATAAGGGTCAAGAAAATGCGAGTGAGTAAATTATGGATATAATTCATATCGATTCAAGACTTAAGACACTTAAGATCGAGTTTTTCTAAAGAATTACTTGTTCTTGTGATTTTAGTATCGTGTCCTATAAAGTTTAATCAACTCAAAGAGAGAGATGAACTCTAAAAGAGCTTATTTCTCATTATGTGGAAGAGGAAGAAAACTTAAAGCACAATAATTTTGAAAGTACCCATTTGAAAAGTACATACAAAAATAAGGGTTAAATTAAAATCTGAGCGTAGTTGTTAAGGGTCCAACTCGAAAGAAACAACAATATGTTACAAAATATTGTTCTTTTTTAGATAAGTTAGGGCACATGAGGAGAAATTGAATTCTAAAACATTAAACAACTACTTTAGTTATTCTGAGCGATCCAGGAGTTATAAGTTTTATGATCTCATAATGCAAAATATTTTTAAGGTGAGATCTATAACATTATTTTTTAGGATGTTAAGTTTGGAAGGAGAAATAAGGTTTAAGAAATTGCTTTTGAGGGGAACTGAATTATAACTCAATTCCTATTATCACTTTTGATTATATCCATGTGTTTGTACATGTTGTTAATCAAGAAGTGAATCTAGAATCTCAATAAGATAATATTGAACAACTCTCTATTTAAGATGAGAAATTGTTACGGAAGAACAAACTCAAAAACCTCAAAAAACAAGTGTCATTAAGAAAATCTACGAGATGAGAACAAAATATTTTATATTATTATGTTTCTACAAGAAACAAGAATTACCGTGAACGATGAAAGATGATCTAATCAACTTTTGTCATGTCATAAAATTTCTGACTCTAAAAAGTGGATTAATGTAATGTAAGAAAAGAATAAGTTCTATACAAGATAATAAAGTTTGAGAACTTGTCTTATTACCTGAAATTGCAAAACTGATTGGTTGCAAATAGATATTTAAAACCAAGATGAATGCAAAAGGTAACGTTGACAAGTATAAGACATGTCTTGTATCTAAAGGATATACTCTAAAAAAAAGACTTTAATTTTGTAGAGATTTTCTTTTTGATTTCATTGAAAGACTTTTTTAGGATAATCATGGTATTTGTTACTCATATTTGATTTTTAGTTACATAAGTTGGATTTCAAAATTGTGTTTCTCAATGGTAACATTGATGAAATATTTTATATGATGCAGTTAGAAAATTGTTCTAATGATACACAATTAGTAATATTGAAATTAAGGAAATCCATTTATGAGTTTAAGTATGACTTCCGTTAATTGTATAATAAATTATACCAATTGATTATCTCGTTTGGTTTTGAGATAAATTTGGATGAAAATTGTATATACTATAAGTTTAGTGAGAGTAAACTGAATAATATCCCTTATTGCTAAAGAAAACAAGTTTAGTCTTGATTAACGCCCTAATGATGGTTTTGAAACTAAGAAAATGCAAAAATGTTCTTTATGCTTCAAAATAAATAAATAATTTAATGTATACTCAAGTTTATACGCATTCAGACATAACATATGACTTTAGGATATTAATTAGGTATTTAAGTAATTTAGGTATGGACCGTTGGATATCAGTCAAATTGATTCATACAATATAGTTAAGAAAAAAAATTGTTACATGCTCACATATCAGAGGTCTAGTAAGTAAGAGATCATCAAGTTTATGGACTCTGACTTATTAGAATATGAATGCAAATTTTTTCTCACATGAACTGCTAATTATGGATTGATAAGAAAGACCACTTGAGTTATTTTGTTACAACAAAGTTGCAGTCCTTTATTCCATATATAACAGAAAGACCTTAAGTTTAAGCACATATACATCATGTTTTTGGTTGATAAAAAAGTTTAGAGTGGTTATGTGTTTATAAAGTATATGGGTACAAACTCATAATTGTGCGCTTATTAAGGAACTGTCACCCAAGGTCTTTCATGAGCACTATACTCATGTGGTGTAATATCATTTAAGGATATTCGATTTTAGTGGGAGTTTGTAATTTTAATGCTTGTTTATTATAATACAATTTCGATTACTTCAATTTAAGGATATTTATTTTAAAGTTATTTTTACAGAAATAAAGTTTATTTTTGTTTATCCAAACTCTGATTTGGGTAAAATTTGATCTCACTAATGTTTAAAGAGGACAAGTTGGAAATAGATATATACGATTTAAATTATATGTAATTTCCATGCTACGCTCCATGATTGATATATGTCATTTGAAT